GGAGTCATGGAGAGTGTTTTACTTATGATATATACACAGGCTCTAGTAGTTGCGGGGACAGATACATCAGCAGTAACGTTAGAATGNGCAATGTCGAATTTGTTGAACCATCCAGAGATACTTAAGAAAGCAAGAACCGAAATCGATGATAAAATCGGTTTAAACCGGTTACTTGAGGAATCAGACATTGTAAACCTTCCTTATCTTCAAAACATTGTGTTGGAAACACTACGTTTGTATCCTGCGGTTCCTCTACTACCTCACTTCTCATCGGATGATTGTAAAGTTGCGGGCTACGATATGCCACGTGGCACGACGTTGTTAACAAACGCATGGGCTATGCATAGAGATCCAATTTTATGGGAAGAGCCAGAGAAGTTCAAGCCAGAGAGATTCGAGAAAGAAGGAGAGGCTCAAAAGCTAATGCCGTTTGGGATGGGACGAAGAGCTTGTCCTGGAGCTGAACTTGGAAAGAGGTTAGTGAGTTTGGCTCTTGGATGTTTGGTTCAATGTTTCGAGTGGGAAAGAATTGGTGAAGAACTTGTGGACATGAGTGAAGACAAAGGGCTTACTATGCCTAAAGCCACTCCGTTGCGGGCTATGTGCAAGGCACGTACCGTTGCTAATACAGTGATATATTGTTAAGTATTGCTAATAAGATTGTACATAGAATAAGATTCGGGCAACTGTAGTACTGTACCAATTGATTTTGTTTTAGTTATTGTAATTTCTTTAAAGCTAGAATTGATGCCCCCCCCCCCCTTAATAATTAGATTATGTACCCCAATCATTTCATTCAGCTTTCTCAAAACAATTTTGGTATTTTTAGTTTATAATTCAAAACAATTTAGGTATTTTTAGTTTATAATTCAAAACAATTTATCATATCTATACATTTGAGTAACAAAATCTTTTTTATTGGTTTTTAAAATAAATTCATTACACTGCAGACATAATATAAACGTTTTATATACTTTCATGTACTAAAAAATTTCTTGTTCTTCATTTTAATATATATCTCCAACGTGTATATCTTACAATTTTTGTTTTTCAACCATTGTCATTGAAATTATATTTTAGGATTTCGGATGGTTCAACATACTATGACATACGTGTTAAAAAAGTATTATTTTCTTTTGAAAAACTCACCATATAAAATGCATGTGTTTAAGCGGTTGACAAATGAAAAGAAAATTAATTCACAAGTAATTAAATATCTAATTTTGTTTGTTTATATTTTGTTATATTTTGTCAAATATTACACTGAAAACACATGGACGGTTTTTTTGGTAAATCCTTAACTTTATATTAAGAAAATGCATTACAGACACAAGTGTGAAGAGGCATCAAAAACATTATTATTTTCCCCGAGTTTTCAGTTTGTGGTAGTGATGACCGCAAGACTGCCTCGACTCCATATATTGTAATATTATTTTGATTATTCATACAGAGGATCCAAGCCTGTGTCTATCCATTCATTTGTATTCAATCAAGAGGCATCGAAAAGGTATGTATACTATTTTACAATAAAATGATTTTAAAATAATATAAATTTTTATAAAAGAAAATGTTTACTATGAGAATCGTATTTTAATATGTAATGCATTTTCTTAATCGTATATATATATATAAAAGGTGATCCTTTCAATAGTATAATGCATTTTTTTTTCTGAATAATACTTTATTTCCCTTTTGTATAATGCATTTTCTCTTTATCAAATAATGAAATACGATTCTCATATATATAAAGACTTAACCAAAATTTCTAAGAAATTGAGAAAAACCAAATAACGGTCATAGTACGGCAAGAGTTGACAGAAACACCAATGGTTTGTCTTTTCACAGTATAGATTTCTAACTAACAAATATCATAAATTTGGATGTTAAAACTTTAGTAAATTCTTGAAAGAGACCACGTGGAAGAATTATATTTGGTCCTGCAAGAAAAATAGCACCAAAGTGTTTGAACTTTAGAACAATGATTTTAAGTTTTACAAAACAGAGAGCAATTCAACAAGTACGTACGAAGGATTCGATTTGAATAGTCGAATTAGGTTATGTC